AAAGCCATAGCTAATGCACTGAAGAAAATTGCGGAGTTTTCTTTTGATCTGTTACCTGTCATTCGTAGTCACGTATATGTGGGAAATATTTCCAAAAAGCCTGTGATGAGAGATCAAGAAAAAGAAGTTGTTTATGAATTTAGTACAACAAAAAAGGTATGTGGCTGCCCTTTTCTAAGTGCATTATGGATTACATGTCCTCAAAGACACATGCTATCTACTGCCAGCAAAATGTGTACATGACCAAACAGAAGTTTTATTTCGAGGATGAGAGTTATCCCTGTAAACGTTTCTAGCCAGCATCTTACAAATGTTCTTTTCTAAGTGCATTAGGGATTATGTGTCTTCAAAGACAGATGCTGTCTACTGCCAGCAAAATGTGTAGATGGCCATGAACAAAAGTTTTATTTCAAGGATGAGAGTTATCCCTGTAAACTTCATTTCTAGCCAGCATTTTACAAATTTAAAAAAATATGAAAAGACAATGGAGATTTGATCTTTTCTATTCATCAAGTTACTTAAATTTTTTAAAAAGTACTTATCAGGACTAAAATTGCATGTATCCACTTGATCCTGGCATGTTTAGAGGCTTAAAATAATTTTCTTCAAAGCCTCAAATTATCACATGCTTTTTCTTTTCCTTGAGTGTTTTGAGAGTCTTCCAGAAAGACTCTCCAATAATGAATGTTACAGATCAAACAGGAAGAAATGCTTAGTGTCAAGACAGGGAAAAAAGGGATGGTTTTAGTTTACATATGTAGTTTATTAGGACTTTTATAGTGCTACATCATTGATGACTTCTAATGCCACACGGATCACACTTAGTCCTTATCTGCATATACTTGGAGTCATTTTGGCATCCATATTTCTTTTAGATTGCTTACTTGCAGAAAACATAAAGAGCTCTATGAATCACTTTGAAAGGAAATGAATGCATGTATCATATTATCATGTAATGCTCCCCTTAGGATGAAAGAAGGTACTTAATACTTCAAAATTTAAACCAGTATAAATTAGAGTTGAGAAAACCAGAATGAGAGTAGAATTATACACTGTATTTAATATATTCACATACACAGATTATATAGAGCAAAATCCAAGAAATTATTATTTATTTGACTGGTGGTAGTGGCAGTTGGCAGCTAGGTTTTTTGACACTTGCATTCTGGCATCTGCAGCATTATCAACCATACGAAACAGACTGGTATAGGAATTTTTTTCACTGCCCCCACCTCAATTCTCATGACTTACCATGCTAGGCAAGTCCTTACCAGTTATTACTGTGCTCTACCTTCTGGTGTAGCGCAAGTTTTACTTTTTCAGTAGTTACTTAAGTTTTGTAACTTTTAGATAATCTTTGATAGGCTAAAGATAAATATGAGTGTACATTGCCTTTTTATTTTATTTTATTTTTTAATCCAGCATTTAGCAGAGTGCTTGCTTCACTCTATTCTCTCAGAACTAAAAATTCAGAAGGTATCTATGGACCACAATTACATTCATGCCCTCTGCAGAGTGTATGTGGGTATTTGTCGACAACTTGGAGACTTGGAAAGAGCTCGCTTGTTTTGCTACAGCCTACTTAAGGAAGGTATGTTTAGATTGTGACAATTTTGTATTGAAAATATGATTGCCTTTTTTACCTTATTATACTGGAGTCTATATTTTCAGCTCTGTGATTACAGTGTGTCTTTTAAAATAATGTTATGTTTTGTCCATTGAATAATTTTGGCTGTACCCAGCTGCACCTGGTTTTCAGTAGGGCTTACTTATATCAACACATATATTCCTACTTGGAAATAAATGATTATCTCTCATTACTATTTGTTTTATGCCCTGTGCAGCTGCTTTAGAATTAGATATAGTTGCCCTAAAATAGGGAATACTTTAAGGTAAGTGACAAGCCAAACTACTGTAACACTAGGTAGAAAGGGCAGCAACTTTAAGATGAATTTGTCAGCTGGTGAGAAGTAGTAGATGAGAGAAAGCTGAAAGGAGATGATGGCATGAGGGTTGTCCTGTGATTATCTTTTCTCTTTACTGTTTCTTCTGTCTACACTAGTGGATCAGATTGGGAATCATTTTTCTCTGTATCAAATCATCAGTATTTTCAAATCATATTATATACAAATGAAAATATCATATCAGTCTTATCTCAGTGGTAAATATTTATAATCTTTGACTACCATGTTTATGAGACTTGTAAAGCAGGATGTTGAGTATATCCATCCCTTTTAGTGTTTCGAATGAAGCTGCTCTGTGTTTCAGTTGCCCACTTCATTGCTTTGTTTACTCTTTCAGTCACTTATTTATTGAACGAATCATAATCGAGTGAATGTTAGGATTTCTGTGGTGATCAGAATCAGATGGAGGCGCAATTGTCCATGGGGCTGATAGGCCATAGTCACATCACAGAAACATACATGAAGTTCAGCAGTTGGTGGGTGGTGGGACAGAAAGGGGTGTGGTCTCAGTCAAGACCACATTGGCTTTCTTGTTCTTCCTCAACCACAGCAAGCCCATTCTTAGCTCAGGCTTTTGTGCTGACGGCTTTCTTGCTGTTTCCTTCAACTCTTGTGTTTCACTCCACTAATTTGACATACCTTCCTAGTCATCCTGGATCCCTTATTTTTATTTGCCTTCATGGCACTTATCACTTCTTAAAAGAGTATTTTGTTTGCGGTCTCTCTGCTCCTCTAGCTTGTATACTCTGTAAGTAGAGAATTTATTTGTCTTGTTTCTACTCTGAGGTGTCACCAGATAAACATATGATTCAAAATATAACAGATTGAGTTTAGTGCAGTGAGTTTATGCTTTGAGCTCCCTATTCTTAGATGTGTCAATGATAGATAAAGCAGAATAGAGAAAACTAAAAAGAAAGCAGAAAAGTGAAAACTAAAAAGATGTGATTGTACACCAAACAGGTTAAACATTGGAAAGCTCTTTGACAATTTCTTATGAAATTAAAACATTTATTTATTTATCCTGTGGCCCAGAAATTCCACTCATAGGCACTTATGCAACAGAAACACAGAGATGGTTCATTTCATAGCCTGACACACAGATATAACATCTTCATTCATAGGAGTCCATAACTGGAAACAAATGTCCATCAACCAGTGAATGGAAAACATTTTGATGTATTAAGCAATTAAATACTACTTGGCTATACAAAGGAATAGACTACTAATATATGCAACAACATGGATGAATCTCAAAACCAACATGCTGAGTAGGGAAGCCAGACAGAAGAGAGTACATACTACAAAAATCCATTAATACATACTTGAGAAAAGGCAAACTAATGTATAGTGACAGCAGATCAGGGCTTCTCTGTAACTGGGGTGAGGTGATTCACTGCAGAGCACAAGAGTGAGAGAACTTTTGGGATGATGGTATTGACTGTTGTGGTTTCTTGGATTTATTCATTTGTCAAAATTCATTCAACTTTATACTTTAAAAGAGTATATTTTATTGTATGTAGACTACACTTCAGTTAATTTTATAAAACAGATAAAGCCAGATGTAGGAGAAAGTATTTACAACAAAAGAATTGTCATCCAGAATTTATTTAAAAAATTTCTTCAGATCAGAAGCTTTATGTGCTCAATGAGTAAATGTAATGCATAATAACCTATGTAATGTAACGCAAATTTATGTAATGTATAAAAATGGCCTGTAATGACGCATACCAAATGGGAGGATTCTGAGACTGAGGAAGTTGGAGAATGGATTTTTGAAGTGACTGTGACCGGAGCCTCATCTGGGCTACCCACTGACAGCTTCCTCCATTGCAGGATGCCTTGCAAGGCACCAGTGAAATTAATACAATTTATTCTTAATTTGTAATTTATTCACTTGATTATACATAAAAGGTTTATTGTATTTTATTTTTCATAGATTTTCCAGAGTCTGAAAAATTAACTTTGTTTATTGCAAACATGTGGCATGATATATTTCTCTCTCAATCGGTGATTAACAAAGCAATGCAGTTAGTTGCCAGGCAGCGTGCTAAAGGAGAGGTTCTGAACTGCTTGAGAGCTTTTCTTAATTGGGAAAAGGTGAGCTTTATTTTTAATTCTTACAATACCGTACTTTTAAGATAATACATAAATGTTATTGTGTTGTATATTTAGTTTGCATTAGTTCATAAGCATTTTCTTCTTTTTAGATCTTTCAAAATTTAATCAGTTTACCCTAAACTTATCCATTTTCTTCTTTAAGTGTGCAGAAGACATTCAAGGAAGAATTATAGACCAAAGGACTGTGTTAATTAACTGTTTCATACACTAATTTGTGACTGATGAAATCCACCCATAGTTATATATGTTTAAAAGTCTCAGATAAGCTACAAAATTATTTGGTTCTACAATAGATACTTAGGTGAAAAAATATGTCTCGGTTCTTTCCTATTAGGATTTTTTAAAAATATGTTTTATTTTTTTTTTTCCAGTTGATGGAATTTGTTTGTGTGCTATGTACTTTGTTCCCATGTTATATTTTATATGGTTTTTAGTCACTGATATGTTAAAGTAAGTGTCTAGATGAGTGTTCTTTCATCATTTTATTCCATTCATTAAGTTGATCTAATGATAATCTTAACTACCAGTAGCAAACTTCAAGAAGAGGTACTGAAGCAAGTGATACTGACTTTTAAATTTTATTTTCTGTTTTTAATGAGCATGTATTTCCTCTTCCAAAAATTCCCCTTGGCTTGTGTGTGGAGCAGAATTTTATATGCTGTTTTGCTTTTTTGACTACTTTTGATGTTAGTATGTATTAGGATTTTATTTTTTATAAGATGTAAAGGAAGGAGCTTTTGGTGGTCAAAAGTTAGCTAAATATTAAAAAGCAAGTTTGCAATGATCTCTTCATCAGTCTATCTAGGCACAGCAGAATACAGCCATCCTGAGGTTTTGTCATCAATTCTAGTCAGTCATTTTGTGTCAGGAGAGACTCCCTGACTCCTACCAGTGGACACCAGCAACCACATATATAACTTCCAGAGGGTCACCAGCCTCCAGAATATTACCTGCCTCTGGAAGTTTACTTGTCTCCAGAGAGTTACCTGCTTTGAGGGTTACTGACTTCAGAGGTTTATCTCTTCCCGGAGGGTTATCTGTTCCCAGAGAGTTACCTGTCTCTGGAGTATTACCTGCCTCTAGAGTTAACTGTTTCCAGAGGGTTACCTGCCCTCCAGAGAGTTACCTGTTCCCAGAGGGTTATCTGCCTCCGGAGGGTTACCTGTTCACAGAGAGTTACTTGCCTCTGGAATATTATTACCTGCCTCTAGAGGGTTACCTGTTCCCAGAGGGTTACCTGCCTCTGGGCAGTCACCTGTTCCCAGAGAGTTATCTGCCTCTGGAGAGTTACCTGTTCACAGAGAGTTACCTGCCTCTGGGCAGTCACCTGTTCCCAGAGAGTCACCTGTGTCTGAGGAGTCACTTGCCTCTGGAGGGTTACCCACATTCAGAATGTTACCTGCCCAGGCTGCTCATGCTCTCTCTTGGTCTTTCTGCTTGCACTAGAGCCCATCTTTTTTTACTTGTTCAGAATTAAGCAGGATATGGTTAAAAAGACATTCCTTATGAGGAACATATCATTTTAGCAAATGTATTTAGTAAGTATCATATCAAAAATACGAAGTCAAAGCTTTAAGAAAGGTGAGAAATACTTGGGGAATAAAACACTATTATAGTGTAAGATTTCCAGATGCTCTCTTACAGAATTAAACATCTGGTAAACAAAATGAGGATATAGTACAATTCAATAATATAAAAAGTAAATGTGTGTGAAGAATATGTATTTTTCTTATATCTATGACACATTACACAAATCAGTGATGATTTGACCACATGAAAACATTAATTTCTAAAAAGTAAAGATTTCACACTCAAAGCTCTCTGGTAATAATTCTGTAAAATTTAACAGAAAAAATTTCAAAATATTTACATTTACTTCAAAATTGAGATACACATTCTTAGACAATCTGGGAACAAATAAAATATGAAAAGTAATACTCGAAGTATTAAAAGTCAATGAAAAGGTAAACTCAGTATCAAAGATGTCTAGGTTTTTTGGAAAACATGTACTCAATAAAGTATCTTAAATGTCTTAGTTGTTTAGCAAAAAATAAATGAAGTTGGCTGCTACTCATCTTTAACATTAGAAATGTTGAGGGAGGTGGAGAAAAAGAATAAAGTTTAAGAGATGGTAATAATGAAGTGGAAAAGAAACAGAAACACATAGAAGATAAAAATACTGCCTTTAAAAAATGCTCACAACATAGATAGCTTACAGTGCGGATCAGTGAAAACAGAGAGAAGCAAAAATAGTGAAGATGTGCAATGGGAAAGAATATAGGATACAGAATGAGAAGACTACTACCTGCAATCCTGTACCAACAGATTTGGAAACTTACGGTGATTTCCTGGCAAAATAAAAGTGATCAAAATTGGCTTTAGGGGTAGGATACTTGAAAAGACTGTTTGAAAGGTAATTAAAACTTCACAAAGACATGTATAGATTTATCCTGAGTTTTATCTAATCTTTAAAGAACCAAGTAACTGTAATCTATTTTAGGCATGAGGAAAAATTGAAAGTCCTCTGTTTGTTTCTAATGATAAAACCCAATCAAAAATGCTATAAGAAAGAAAAAGTCAGTTTTCAGTGAGCCTTTTAGATGTAACAAGTGTCACTAAACAGGAGATTTCAGTAATGTATTCAAAGAATAATACTTTTTAACTTAATAGAGTTTATCTTCATAAAACAAGGAGAATTCAGAATCAGAAAATCAGTATAATTATTAAAGAAGAAACTCCCATGGATTATTCCTAGACGAAGAAATAGAAGGAAACTTATTAAATATAATACTGCTAGTTAACAAGAAATCAGTGGTATTATCTTCAGTGTAAATTATGAAATTATTTCAGTTTTTTAAATCAGGAATTAGGGGATTCCTGCTGTAACCATGGTGGGAAGTATTTCCTGAGTTGGGTTCTTTAAGGTGTTGCTTCCTGCAAGTTTTTCTGCCAGAGTTGATAAAATCTTTAAGAGTGCCCTATATGTAGAAGTGAATTTTAAAGTTGTAAATTTACAAACCTTTAAAAAAAGCCTTTAAATTTATGAGTCTTGTTTCATTTATAAATCAGTTAATTGTTAACAAAGTAAGAATGTGTTCACTTTGGCCATTGATAAATGTTAGTTAACTCATATATTTAACAGATTAACATTTCCTAAATAATCTTATTTACAAATTTCAGCAATCTAATTATCTTAAGACTTCAAATGTATTCATAAACTTAAGATATATTCTTCAAAAACATTTCAAAGTAGGCTTTCAAATCTAATAAGCAAAATCTTCGTAAGCACTTCAGCAACCCTTGAATGTGAAAAGTCGAATTGAGAATGTAGAATATGAGTTGTAATAAGTATTCAAACAGTGTTTACAAACCTAATTACATTCTCTTAAAACACGTCTAATTACAATCATGATTCTAATACCAAATACTTCACATTACAGCCACACTTGAAACATAGGAGATTCTCACCACTTTTTTGGAGCATATATTCTATACATGTAGATTATCCCATGTTCACAATTACTGCAAAATGTATTGTAAAATAGATACTCAGAAAAGTGAATATATGGATTTGATTTGTTTTGTGTCAGAATTTATTTCTGCATCTTTTCAGGTTGCAAGGTCACTGATTTTTCAAAGTGGGAAATATTTATCATTCTGGCTGAGTTTTGGTTATCAGGTATATTACTTTGAACCATGATTTTGTAATGGATTTTCTCATAGAAACCTTGAGACTTAGAACCTTTAAGGATATATATGCCCAAGCTACAGGTTTACTTGTTGAGCCCTTCTAATAATAAAGCAAATATCCAAGCCCAAGCCTTTCTTGTATTAAGTATATTGAATATTATATGTATATTATTTTTATAATGAAACTCTCATATAGTGCTGATGGAAATGTTAAATGGCATGACCACTTTGCAAAATAGTTGGGCAGCTTCTTATAAAGTTAAACCTTTTCTTAGCAAAAGACCAGGAGTTCCACTCTTAGGTATTTTCAAGAGAAGTGAAATTTACATCCTCACAAAGGCTTTTATACATGAATATTCATAGCAGCATTAACAACAGTCAAAAGTGGTGAATTGATAAACAGTAATATATTCGTATAATTGGTTACTACTCAGCAGTGAAAAAAAAAAGTGTTCAAACTACTCTTTCATGCAACACCATGGATAAATATTACAACACATTATACACAGGTGTGAAAGAAGCCAAATATAAGAATTCATTACTATCTGATTCAGTTTTATGAATTTCTTGAAAAGGCAGACTGATCCTTGATGTCAGGAAAATAATAGAATTTAATTTTTAAAGTTTTATTTTTATAATTATAACTAGCTTTCTAACTTTAATTCTGTGATTTGAGTTGATGAAACTGTGCTTTCCTATCTGGATTACAGGTAAGATCTTTTCTACCTGATTGGATTCTGCATCCTGCCTAGATAGCTTTTTAATCTGGCTCATCCAACTACTGACCTGTAATCATTCTATGACTAAGATAAACATGGTTCCTTATTTAGACTATTTTAAATTAAGATTAAATAATTAGTCACTGAATGCTTATTATAGTCTTTTAGATAACTAAGGTAAGATGCATTATATTTGAAACTCCAGATTTTATTTTATTTCTTTTTTTATTTGCTAGAATGCCCCGGTAGATGTTGGCTTCATGGTTTCTAAGCTGCTTTTGACCATACAGTTATGTCCAAAAACAGAATTTCAGTCCAGTGAAAAATTTGGTGAAGATCTAAGCGATAACACTTGGGAATACATATTTGCCATTGATCTGCTCTGCTGCCATCAGAAATGGATCTGGACACATGATAACATTATAAGGTTAGTTATTTACTGACTTAGATAAAGATCTGTTATTTGAATTGTAAGGTTGAATTGTTGAATGCTGAGTTGTGGTTTGAATCATTTTTGCTGTATAAGCGTGTAAGCAGATGAAACATTAACAAGTGACACTTTTTATTTTATAAGAGTTAACGAAACTACCCTTAAGATACTTTCATCACTATCACATTATCTTGCTTTAATTTTCTTTAGTACTGGTCACTACTTTTTGCTCTGTTCTGCTCTTATCATCTCTCTCTCTCCAAAAGAAGTGACTCTGGGAGGGTGTAGGGTGGCCTTGTTCGGCTCACGGTGTATCCCCAGCGTGGGAAACGGTGCCTGCACAAGGGGAGCACTTGGCAAATGTATGTTTAATGAAATTAATGATCATAATATACAGATACTCACAAAAATTAAAGGGAAGAGAAATATTCAAAATTATAAATTAGCAGCTCCCCCTACCTGGGAGAAAATTAAGCTCTCAGGCATTCGTTATATGTAGTAAATTGACTTTTTTCTGTGCATTTATAATTCTGGCACCAGCTTCGTATCATCTCTGGGAGAATGGAGAAAATTGTCACTCAAATAATTTTTCTGTAGGTCTTAATTTTCTTGTGGAACCCTGGCTGAGAAAGGCTGGTTTAAGGGAGTTGGTGACATTAAAAAGGATTCATCAAAAGTTTGAAATCCATATCCTTGAGCTACTTGAAGCTGTAGAATTTACCTTGTCCATGGGTTTGTGTGTGTACAAGGATGTCTGTTACTCTTACTCATCATCTTGACACTAAGAGAAGATCAGACAACTGAATGACAGACAGGAAGGAATCAAATCATGGCACACCTCTGTGAGATAATAGCTATATATCTCATAGATGTGAATGGATTACTATGTATTGAAATGGAAAAGTATTTCCCAGTCTGTTACTAAATAAGAAAATGACGAAACAGTCTGTTTAGTGCCAGTCTGTATAATGTGTCAGGGTGCTCTTTGGGCCTCAGCTTTCTGAGTCCTAATGGGAACGCACGAGGCAGGGGCCCTGCTAGTCCCAGTTATGCATGAAGAGACCAGGACTGGTGTCCATCAGAGATGATTGGTCCATGATCCCTGCACGGGTGGTGAAGATAGCATCAAACATGACAGATCTCCACCTGAGCGATGGCAGACCCTGCTCCCTTCCTCAGCACTGGTGGCTCTCTCCAGGTTGTTTGTATCCATAGAGACGGGGGAGTATCTAGAAGAAAAGCCAGAATTAGAAGAATAATAATGATTTGAGACTGGATTTGGAGTGCTTTTAATTACCTTTTCTCTTTTGTCTACATTCAGCTTTTCTAGTGATACTTTATGAATGCCATGAAAGTAGATACATTTTTGAAAAAACAGAAGACAAAGAGGACATGGCACTGTTTTCAGTCAGTGGAGAGTTTCTTTTATCCACCTAAAGTGTTAATTTGATTGCTGCAATTACGGTTTTCCCCTGGTTTAGCCCTTTTTACATACACAGCTTTATTGTTTGTGATCCTGCCAGTTAACTGAGCTTCTAGAATTCAGGGGCTTCTTTTGTGC